ATTCCTTTGAAAAAATTGAAACCCTTTTTATTGGATGATCATGAGACTTGCCAAGAATTTCGCTATATGCAACTTGACAATTTAAAATAGATTTTTCAAATACTTAAATATCATTTACTGAATGAAAGTGGTAAAATTTATAATCCCTATTCAGTAGTAACATCATTTTGAATGTATTCTATCTATTCCAATTATTATGAAGAGACATCTACAACCGTTAGTCTTGGACAGTTTATTTGTGAAAATGTACGTCGAATTCGTTTACTCAACTATCCAATGCCAAAATCGCGTAAAGTTGGCTACTTGGCATTATCCTATATTGCACCTTTTGCTTCATATGCCATGGAAAATGTATTTATAATGATTAAAGTAAAAGAATTCAATCACATTATGAGGAAAAACACTTTTGAAAAAGATAACTCGGAAAGACGAACAATCCCTTTGCAAAAAGACTATTTAACATTCCTATGCATTATGCAGGCATATAACTAGTCATGTTTAACAAAAAGCAGTTGAAAAATGTAACTTGACCATAACAGACATGTTAAAAAAATTTAGTCAATTTAGCATTATATGACATAATTAAAACAAAATACTAATAATATAATATGTTAATTAATACAAACCAAATAGTAAAGAAATAAAATACTATAATTTGTTAATTAATATAACTTCAATTTGATTATTAATTATACATAATTATAGATGTGGATTTGTGTAAACAAATACAAGTTCTAGAAAACATTGACGAAATAAATAAATACTCGTTAAATGAAAGAAAACAGAGTTTGTCAATCGTATAGTCTTTGATTAATAATTTTCAAAAAAATTATTTTAACACCATTTATTAAGTATTAGTTATCTATACTATATTATAAAGCATTTGACAAAAACTCTTAAAAATCACTTTTTATGCGTAAAATATTGTTTATTAATGCATAATATTTAAAACTTAAGATTACAAGTAGATTGTGCGTAAATACAACTTATTAAAGCTCCATATCTGAATTCGTGTAACTAACTGCAGATAAACATAATTAAATACAGGATAAACATCTCATTTTAAATATAAAAAATCTAAAATACAATTATGATAATCATTGAGTTCTAACAAAATGCTTAATATTATCTTTATAAAATGTTATATTATTAAACCAAAAATAAATTATTTCATTATTAAACTTAAATTAAATTATAATAAAAAAATTACATTAAAAATTAAAACTTTTAAATAGCTGATTAGATATTAACATTGATATATATATATATATTTTTTCAAATTTATATTTTACTCAAAAATAAAATCATTATTATTTTATTAAAAACACATAAAATCGTATTATAACATCGACATAGACAAATAATAAAATAGAATATTAAAATCGAAATGTGTCTCGCTGCATTGCACGAACACTCTTCTAGTTTATAAAACATAAAAAATATATCTTTAATCTTATATAACTTATAAAAAATATTATTAAAATTATTATATTTGAATAATAACAATAATTCAAAATATTTAATTATTTAAGAATTAAGAACTAATAATATAATATTAAATAGATAACCGATAATTTATTATTTATTATATAATTACTATTAGTAACTACCATTAAAAGTTTATATTTCTTTAATCTCTCTCGCCACTTTTTTTTTCTCGATTTTCTGTATGATTTGAAAAACATATAAACGCCACTTCTTTTCTCGATTTTTTGTTCTATTTGAAGTACTTTTTAAGTAAAAGAAGCCAAATGTTCTTATGGATTCAAGATTTGAAGATTGACGTAATTTTTTTGTGGGTAAAAGTTGCAAACCTGAGAGATGGGAGCTGGTGTGTTAGGGTTTGAACTTTTTTTTCCTAAACAGTATTGGTTTTTCATGACCAAACAAACATCAACAATGTAATGAAATATAAAACAATGGAATAAATACACCAATTTTTCATTCATATAAAACAGTATTCACTTTCATTTTTATTCCTTAAAATGCACCAAACACCCCATAAATTAAGTTATAATTGTCATACTTGTATGACCTAAATCATTTTCATTTATCCTTTAATAATTTTAATAATGTGGTTTTTTGAAAGTTTTTATTTTCATCCTTATGAGTTTTGAAATTATAATTTTCATCCCTGTAGTTTATTATTCATTACCTTTTTCGTCCTTATGATTTAAAATTTGTTGCTTTTTTCGTCCTCATGGTTTAAAATTAAATTTTATTTCAGTCTTTCATACTTAAAAGTAGTGTTTTGGCCTTAGGGACAAAAATAGAAATGAATATCGAAGTTTCAAGACCACAGGGACGAAAAACGTAATTTCTCTAACTTCAAATTCAGTAAAGTGTATAAGAAGATGTTTGGTGGCATACATGAACATCCATCCATCCATTGTCGTCCAGCGGTTAGGATATCTGGCTTTCACCCAGGAGACCCGGGTTCGATTCCCGGCAATGGAACTTTTTGTTAAAATTCTAAATAATATTTTGCTTTTTGCGTCATTTCATATCCACTTGTTTCTATGTATCTGTGCCATTCCGATATACACTAAACGCTTATTCAATAATCTTACCAGATGCATAGGGTGTACAAAAAATTATCAAACTGCTAACAACCTAATTAAATTCAACTTGTCAAACCGTTCACCCGCCTAACCGCTAACCCACCAATTACAAGGGTTGAAATTGGGTGGGGCCAAGCTCAATCCGACCAACCCGCCGTTGATATATGATTTTTATAAGATTTTATTTATATATATGTTATCATGTATATATATATGTGTATATATATATATATATTAATAATATATAAATTTTATATAATTTTTATTGATATTATGTTTATATTTCATTTTAGCTAAACGTATAAGTTACCAAAAGAGATTCACGATCAAAGAATTATGACAAATAATCTAATTAATAAGAAAAAACCGTTGAAATCTTTTTTGCAGTAACAACAAATTGATATGTCGGAGAATATGAACGATATTGATAGATATTTGGTTAACGAATCAATCAATCTAAATACCCCGCCATTTTATGTTGTATTTTAGTGGAAAAATTATGTTTAGTTATAGCATTTCGCTACAACATTAGATCTTATAGGATGTCTAAAATGTCTAAGCGTCCTAATATCAGTGGCGGACGCAGAAAAATATATCGTAGGGGGCACCATACTCCAACCAATTAGCATATTGATCAAACTAAGTCGGACAAAAGCGTCTTCTTTTTACTCCCGACAAATTTTTTTGGAAATGCATGACCCTGTGGTTGACAAAATTAACCTAATCTAAAGCATTTACCAAATACCAAATCACCAATAAGCAAACAACAACCTACAAAATTAACCTAATCTAAA